GAAGCCAGCGACTAACCGCTTGAGCTATGGCTCGGCCAAAAGAACGCCTTACTCGTACATGAAGGTCGTGTCCATCCGTCTGTCAGTCTATTCGTGATCTCGTAGGGCTTCAATTCTTGCATAAATTTTCATTATATTCAATACTGGAGAGTTTCATACACATATGTCTATAGATATACTTTTTCAGATATCCCAGAATTGTTTTCACAGATTTCGGAGAAGTTCTGCATGGGAAGTTTCCATCAAAACGCGTTTGGAAAATTGGATTTCCACATATATTTAAGACGTAAGAAAAGTCTATTGACGGAAGCCAGTAAATGGACTTTTCCAAGCTTCGTCATGTTTTGCTCAAATTCTATATAGGAAAATTCCATAAATTTCCATTTAAATATTCGCAACGTTAAATTAGCGAAATAATCTAAAAAAACTATTTTACGTAATAATGGTGTGTACTACAATATAGGTAGTATACTATTGTAGTATACGATTCTACGTAATGAAGTGAAAGTAAAGTAAAAGTAAAGCTATCCCTGTACCAGGCCGTGAAGGCCCCTTGGGTTGTGAGACGTCGAGGGTCCCACATTATCTAGACAATCGGCTCAAAGATGGCGGTAATGTTATACTTTAGCGTCCTGTTACACTGATTGAGACGCGAGAGGTAGAGCTGAGTGAACGAAATTGTTAGCTCCGAACGAAACTTCTACATTGCGAATTGTTTTTACGGTTCGACGTTTTAAGTGACGTGGTCATTGGTTTACTGTGATATTTGTGTCGTAAATCGTTAATCAGAGCGAATACATCCAACACACATATAGCAAAAACATAACCTCTACTTGCCGCTCTGCGGCCCAGGGCCCATCCTAGATGAGTGGTCCGGATAAAGACGTAAACTTGATGGACTGTGATGGAACTACGATGGTGAAGACAAAGCTGAGACGACGCAGTAGGAGCCCACCAAGTAATGCCCTATCAAACAAGAAACGGACAGTTGGAAGCCCACAACCACCCACTACAGACAACATCGCTGCGCCGCCGGCCACGACAACAGGTAACAGCTTCGATAACGCAACCGCAGCCCTCACCTTCACCAAAGAGGATGCAGGGCCCTTTGTCCTCCACCTCAGAGGAAACCGTGAAAATAATACCAGACCGCTAATGGCACTCGAAGTATGTCGAATGCTAGAGAAATCTATCGTAAAATACGATTTAGTGACCCCTCTTACGAGAAACACGTGGGAAATCACTTTCAATACACGAGACACTGCTAACTACGCTTTAACCTCCCCCTACCCGAAACAACACGGTTTGATGATTTGGTTGCCTTGGATGAAAGTTTTTAGGAAAGGCATCATTAGAGGCATCCCCCTAGACTGCTCTGTTGCGGAAATTAAGGAAGAACTCAACAAATCAAATCCCGGACTGAAAGTATCAGAAGTATCCAGGTTAAAGCGACGAATACAGAAGGATGGACACACTGAATGGGCCGACACCCACACTGTCAGTGTTGTTGTAAGAAGTACACAATTACCAAAATTCGTTTATATTTGGCGAACGAGACTGGACTTGGAACCCTTCATCCCACAGGTTCGACAGTGCGTTAGATGCGGCAGATTCGGCCATATTAGTAAAGTTTGCAAAGCAATTGAGAAATGCCTGACTTGTGCCCACGACAAGCACCCAGAAAGCGAAACATGTGCGACAACCCCGATGTGCATTAACTGCAAAGGTGACCATCCTACCCTCAACAGACAATGTCCCAAATTTAGGGAATCCAAAGAAATCTGTAGAATTATGGCTCATGAAAATGTACCCTTTGCAATAGCACAAAAACAATTCTCTAACATGCAACATAATTCCTTGTTCCACTCACCATTTATAGCTTTCAGCAACTTCACACCATTGCGACATTCTCCTACTCCAAGTAAACTCCCTTTGCCCCCTGAACAGAAAAATCGCAAATACAGTGAAGCCGTGCAAGCTCGGCCGGCCAAGGACCGTATTTCGCACACGACTCCTTACCTCGCTGAGACCAACTCGCTAATGAACAATATCCATTCCGCTCACCTACAAAGACTGGAATCGATCTTAAAAGCAGACCCGAACTCAAATGCTCTATGGAACAGAATCTGGAAAGCAATCGACCTACATATTCAATTCTCAAATGGACAAGAACCCCAACGTGCTCCGAATACTTCAATGGAATTGCCAAAGTCTCAAAAACAAGCTACATGAACTTCAATTTAGAGCACAACAGTTTGACATCATTCTATTAAACGAAACCTGGCTGACACAAACGGACAAAGTCTATATAAAAGGATTCGACGTTATTCGCAAAGACAGAACGCATCGTGCTGGAGGAGGTACTGCCATCTTCATTAACAATTTTCTCAAATATGAGAAACGACCTGCCCTATACGACTGCGACGGGAGCATTGAACTATGCGCATTGACCCTGCACTTAGTAGAGGGAAAGCTACTATTGGCAACTGGATACAGGCCCCCCGATAAACACATTTCGAACGATAAATGGCTGCGCTTCCTAAACCAATTCCACGATAGGTTTCTATTAGCAGGGGATTTTAATGCCCACCACCCCCTCTGGGGCAGCCCTCGCGCTTGCTCTGAGGGAGATAAACTTTTTCGCGCCATAGAAAGTACTGATAATTGTGTCATCAACCAAGGAGATACAACCTTCCGCTCAAGACAATTTAATACGGAATCGGCTATAGATATCTCAATAACAGACAGCCGATCCTACCCAGCGTACAACTGGTGCGTTGGGAAGGACTCATGGGGTAGTGACCATTACCCTATCACACTAGAACTCCACAAAAAAGCGAATCCCAGGATCATTCACCGGGCACCGCACAAAATATATACTCTTAAGACAAATTGGCAACAGGCCATCTCCAACATCTCCTGCAACTTAGATGCCCTCGAAGCAACTATCTTACACCCAGATACCGACACCCAGGTTAAGTACTCCACCTTTGCAGCTACTATAACCTCCGCGGTCATGGAGGCCACACCAGGGAGAAAATACCACAACACGAGAAACCACAAACAGAATTCCAACCTTGCTAACAATCAAAAATCTTACAAACGCCCTAACCCAGCACCATTTTGGAACGAAGACTGCAACCGACTTATTCGGCTTAGAAAAGGAGCACTCCTACGACTCCAGCAGTACCCATCGAGAGACAATTTTCTCCAATACAAGAAAATCGAGACCAAGACGAGATCTGACATACGCAGCATCAGACGGGACTACTATCGGAACTTCTGTTGTTCCCTCAACCGCTTCACTAATCAATCTTACATATGGAGGAAACTAGCTGGACTGAAGCGTGCCTGGAACACTACCCCTCAGTCGAACNGAACGATAAATGGTTGCGCTTCCTAAACCAATTCCACGATAGGTTTATATTAGCAGGGGATTTTAATGCCCACCACCCCCTCTGGGGCAGCCCTCGCGCTTGCTCTGAGGGAGATAAACTTTTTCGCGCCATAGAAAGTACTGATAATTGTGTCATCAACCAAGGAGATACAACCTTCCGCTCAAGACAATTTAATACGGAATCGGCTATAGATATCTCAATAACAGACAGCCGATCCTACCCAGCGTACAACTGGTGCGTTGGGAAGGACTCATGGGGTAGTGACCATTACCCTATCACACTAGAACTCCACAAAAAAGCGAATCCCAGGATCATTCACCGGGCACCGCACAAAATATATACTCTTAAGACAAATTGGCAACAGGCCATCTCCAACATCTCCTGCAACTTAGATGCCCTCGAAGCAACTATCTTACACCCAGATACCGACACCCAGGTTAAGTACTCCACCTTTGCAGCTACTATAACCTCCGCGGTCATGGAGGCCACACCAGGGAGAAAATACCACAACACGAGAAACCACAAACAGAATTCCAACCTTGCTAACAATCAAAAATCTTACAAACGCCCTAACCCAGCACCATTTTGGAACGAAGACTGCAACCGACTTATTCGGCTTAGAAAAGGAGCACTCCTACGACTCCAGCAGTACCCATCGAGAGACAATTTTCTCCAATACAAGAAAATCGAGACCAAGACGAGATCTGACATACGCAGCATCAGACGGGACTACTATCGGAACTTCTGTTGTTCCCTCAACCGCTTCACTAATCAATCTTACATATGGAGGAAACTAGCTGGACTGAAGCGTGCCTGGAACACTACCCCTCAGTCGAACGAATACAACGTGCAGAGGATACACACCATTGAAACAGCAATAGAAACACTGTGCCCCCCTTGGGCCTTAGTACAACCGCCATGTTTGAAAAACGACTACGAAGACCCATTCATGGATCACCCCTTTACTAAGGAAGAATTAGGAGCAGCCATCCTAAGTACTAACCCTAAGTCATCCCCAGGCCTTGATGGAATTGACTACTTAGTCATTCGCTCTCTCCCAGACACGGTCAAACCCCTGCTTCTAAGACTCTATAATGACATCTGTTTGACTGAATCCCTTCCAACTGAATGGAAACAGTATTCCATCTTCTTCATCCCTAAACCCGATAAAGGAAAAGTCAGACCCATTTCGTTGGCTGCTTGCCTTCTCAAAATCATGGAAAAAATGGTCAACATGTGATTAAACTGGTGGCTGGAATACAACCACCTACTACCCCCCTACAATTCGGCTTCCATAAGAACAAATCATGCCTGGATAACGCCACTGTGCTTTACCTGGACATAATCAATGCGTTCGACTTGAATCGACACTTGGGTGCCGTATTTCTTGACATCCAAAGTGCTTTTGACAACGTATTGGCCGACGTCCTCATCGAAAGACTGAAACTCACAAACCTCCCTCGCCACTTTTTAGCTTTCATCTACAATTTAGTTTCCGAAAGATTCCTCTATCTCCGATATGACAACCTGGATGTTGTACGAAGGGCGTATCGGGGGCTACCTCAAGGTAGTGTTCTCAGCCCGATTCTCTTTGCCCTCTACATGACGCCCCTCAACGCGAGCATGCAAGGCCCCTGCACCGTACTCCAGTTTGCTAATGACATCGCCCTCTACTATTCTGACAATGATCCCAAAATCATTTCCACTAAGCTCACACAAGACATTGGTACAATGAACGTCTTTCTAGAGAACAGCGGGCTAAAACTAGCCCCCGAGAAGTGTCAATATTGCCTCTTCAGTAAAAATAGAACCATAAGAACTGCCCGCTGGGAAGTAACTATAGGCAACGCCGCATGCAGATCAGTGCCAGTGGTGAAATTTCTGGGAATATTATTCAAATCATCGCTTAATTGGAAACAACACTTCCTCTACATCAAATCCAAATGCATCAAACCATTGACTATTATCAGCTACTTGCGTTCAACATGGATAGGAGCCGACCCATGTGTCCTACTACGCCTATATGTTGCGCTAGTGAGGTCTCGAATTGAGTATGGTTCACATCTTTTCACTCCGTTCAATGCCACAGTAACCACCTCCATGGAACGTATACAATGTAAAGCCCTTCGGCTAGCTATGGGATATATGACATCCACACCCACAAATGTAACCCAGGCAGAAGCACGGATTCCACCCCTGGTCATGAGATTTAAACTACTCTGTGACAACTACATCTCCAGAATCTACACCCTCTCAAATCATCCGCTACTGGCCCGTATATCACAACTAGCAGACACTAGGATGCATCCCACCAGGATTCACACTGGACAAGAGCCCCTAATTCTCACGTGCTACAAGGAAATTGAACCTCTGCATCACCTTATTGCCCACTCCGATAAACCCCTGATATACAGTTACCCCTACAAGACTTCCTTTCATCAGGCCCGGGTGTCATTTGCCGAGGGCCTAGCTGCCAGCTCATCACCACAAGGGAAGGCCATGATCGACTCGCTGGTTAAGGAACTCGAGGGTTCCAACCGTTGTTTTTTCACAGATGGATCCAAAACGGAAGGTTGCCGTTTTGTAGGTTTTGCCTCCGTGACTTCTACAAACTCCACGGCGAACCTATATAGAACATCCAAGTATGCCTCAGTCTTCACAGCGGAAGCTATGGCTATTATATCGACGCTAGAAATGATAAAACAGAGTCCGAACACACACTTCAGTCTTTTCTCAGACTCCAAAAGTGTCTTGGAAGCCCTACGCTCTGGCTCCCCACTGAAACACTGTAGTCATCTAATACTTACCATTAAAGAGCAACTCCTCATGCTTGAAGAAAAGGGTAAAATCGTTCACTTCTACTGGATACCTGCCCACATTGGAATCACCCACAACGAACGGGCCGACATGGCGGCAAAAGAGAGTGTTTACAAAGGCATAGACTCCCAACTATTATTACCCTGGACCGACCTTAGAGCCTGTTGGAAACAGAAAATGTTAAAGATTTTTACGCATGAGGCTACTCATCGGGAGCGCACAAAGGAAAATAGTATTTCGATAATTACTTCACTGATGTACCTTACCCCTGGTTCAACAANCTGGTTAAGGAACTCGAGGGTTCCAACCGTTGTTTTTTCACAGATGGGTCCAAAACTGAAGGTTGCCGTTTTGTAGGTTTTGCCTCCGTGACTTCTACAAACTCCACGCCGAACCTATATAGAACATCCAAGTATGCCAAGTCTTCACAGCGGAAGCTATGGCTATTATATCGACGCTAGAAATGATAAAACAGAGTCCGA